CCCAAGAAAATCCTGACAATCTCTAGAAATCCCGGCAATCCCGAAAATTCCGTGGGAATCGAATGAAGATCCCTGAATTAATTAATGTAGATATGTGAAAAATACTGAAATTATTGCTCATGTTCATACATATCAGATGCAACTCCATTCAATTAACATTTCTAAAACCATTGCTCTTAGAAAATAATGTAGAGGTGTAGAATATAAGTAATTTCTAAATGAAACATCGAATTTCTTTCATAATTTAGGCATCAAAAGCCAAATAACAGCCAATTTTGTGGCAGTCTTGATAAATCAGAAGAGTTTCTAATCCTGGTAGAGAATATAACATAATAGTTTCGAATGAAATAAACTGAAGGCTGGAAATTATGAAAAATGAAGCTTCAACGAGCTGGATGTCGATCTAACATGATTTTATCTTCTTCTGAAACTAAACGGAAAACAATATATTATGTTATGCATGCTCATCGTTGAGACGATCTAAAAACTGAGCGAATTAAAACTTTATTGAAGGCTTTCTGTTCCATATTTCTTTCCGCAGGTAATAGAATAGGTATAGTCTGCTAGTGAATTTTGATTTACATTCCCTGATAGACATCCTTTCTTCTAAAATAAGAATCTTGTACGTCTAGTTCAAACATTTACCGGCTTGCCGAAAGTAAAACTATTTACAACTTGATGACATTCGTCAATCATACTTCAAATTTAACGATAGTTATCAGTCACTTTTTATTAGTTTTTACGTTATGCAGCAAACTTTATGATAAAGTCTAAACTTGAATGATGTGCGCTTTATGAAGACAATATAATAAATTCTGTTTTTCATGTCAATGGCTCTCTTTTTCATCTTGGTATAGGATGAAAAAGAGCAGCTATCAATTTCAAAGGTATCACATGTTTAACGGTTCAACTACTGTTTTCTTGATGTTCACAGTTATGTGCTCACAGTATAGGAATATATTACTTATTAGTATTCTCTTGCCGTCATTTTATCTCTAGATAGACAAACAACAGGTAAAGACTTACTCTATATTCCTGGTCTGATACAGTTTTCGATTAATAATATCGCTACTGTATTCGAAATAGGAATGCTTTAGTTTTACTACTGACTGGTCAACTGGGTATCCAAGTAGACTGATGCATCTTTGTCTTAAGAAAACATGTGGCATAAAGGTGACATGCATTTATTTAAGGTTATAATACAGGGTTCTGATTGTCAGATGAATCGCAGGACACTAATTATCGTTTAGATTTTATATTGTTGACTAGCAGCTTTTGAGCAGTAGATCTTCTGGTTCGACCTCGAGTGTCAGTCTACGAAAAATATCTAACTCTGTATCATAAGATGAAAAATCAAATTGGTTTCTGTATTCTTGCAGAAGTAAACTTCAGCGAACTGTAGGAACCAACGAGTCAAACAACTTCATTGTTGAGATGTGCAGTTAAACTGATTGATTTTTTCAGTTTCTTAAAACAATTTAGTCAAGACTAAACTTTCCAGTAGCTGTCTTTTCAAGAAGCACATGTACTATAGATTTTAACGTACAATAGTGATGAAGAGAGTTCACCAGATAGGAGATTCAGACTTCATATAGAAACTAGAATCAGGAATGTTCTACAGAGCTGTGTCTTTCAAATTTCAAAACTGCTCCAACTATGATGTAACGATATAAGTTCGACGATGTCGCAGTGTCTTGTGGTCGTTTCACATGTAGGAAAGTTGGGAAGACGAGATTATAATTTATTGTCCATGTTACCATTTATCTTTGACATCTGTTATCGATGCTACCTGCAGAAGAATGAAACAAAGTGAGAAACAGTAGATTTTAAAAGACTATAGAACTCATGATTTTTAGAAGCTCTGAAGTTGCGTAAAGCCTTCACAAAGTATCATCAAACTTTGCAGGGCTTTGAAAGTTGGCAAGCTCTTAAAAGTTAAATGAAGCTACTCTGACATCTTTACCGTTAGTTTCTATAGGTGGATAACTACAGTGAATTATTATTTAAATCAATTCAGTTTATCATTTCTCCTGTTCAAATTAGTATCACAAATGCCCTAACCGCATGCATATACGATGCGAAGTCAGTAGTTCTAATTGTAGAGCAAAAAAATTTGAAATAGTAGTAATTGATTCATAAGTCACTGCTATTTTGAATCCTGTGGAGCTGATTATTATTGTTCTGAATAGAGGGAACATTAATAGAGTGACATAAGTATTAGATTATTTAGCGAGTAGTCTGGTTTTCACATAAACCATAGCAACGCAAGTAGCATCGAACTTTACTCACTCCTCGAACTGTTTCGATCATGTCGTTGAGAACGTTTGTTACTCCTAATGTTTGCATTCACGTATCCAATATAATATTTTTCAGAATAGAACAAGAATTTAGGAACAAAACTCTTTTTATAGCGCCATTGAAAAAATAAGTCATGTGGTCAGTCTCATGCTAGTGCATGCATTCGTGCTACTATGATCGTAGATGAAGAGCACTTTTTCTATAATTTTGTCCACAAAATCTTGCTCTATTCTTCGAAAAATTACTTTTAATATGCAAATGAGAGCATTAGAAGTAATAAAATACCCTGAACGGCAAAATTTGAAACAGTTGGAGGATTGAATAAAGTTCGATGCTGCTCCTGTTACAATTTCTAATGCGAAGCATAGCCTGCGTACTATGTAGTCAAATACTTAAGTCGACGCATTAATGTTCACTCTATTCAGAAGAATAATGATCAGTTCCTTATTATGATTATTAGCAGCGACTAATGGCTCAATTACTACTATTACTACTAATTCTTTTTTCTAACTCTTGAGAATGCCAATAAGGAAGTGTAATAATATATTCATCTCTTATGATAAAAATTTGCCTGAACTTAGTATTGCTCGCGCTAGTTTATTGCGATGGAAGAAAAATATCATTCGATCTTTATAATTCAAGGAAAACTTGGAGCCTCTGAAAAAATCTTCGAGAAAGAAACCAGACAACTAGGCAATACAAAGACTAGAAATTCGGTACTCGAGAATTTCAAGTGTTCTGGAAAAGTTCAGGCAATCCCATACGTGTAAAGTCTGTTTTGTTTCCCTTCCGATTTCATTGAGTTGAACATTTCATTAAAGCTTACAAAGTGTCAAAAAGGACGAGAAAAAGACTACATTGAAACAGTCAACCTCCTAATAATTTCGTAATCATCTCGTGTATCATAATTTAAGAAAGGCGATTCATCAAAGTTATGATTTGGTTTAACACCTTCTTTCGGGCTTTGATCTTTAATTTGCTGAGAAGAAAATGAGAGAATATGTGATAACACTAAATGAATCAATTGTGCAAGTCTAACTTGAGAAGGCATCGTGTTGTCTCATATGACGAAAGTCATTACAATTTATTGGATAGAGACCCAAACTAATACGTAAACACTTATGTTGCTTTTTTTATTGAAATCCAACAAATATAGCTAATCATAGGATATAATTCATGAATTCTGTTCTTTGCCAGTTAGCGATAAATCTTAACTTCAGCTCATAAGAGTCTCTCCAAGACTTTCCTATTTCACTGTGAAACTCTTTTTTTCTGGTGTCGAAATTAATGTCAAAAACGATACAGTTATATATAGAAAGCCTCTTGTTTTACGTCAGAAATAACGATTGCGCTGCTATCTAATTGACTCAGGTATATTCTACCATCAGATTACTAAATGAATAAACAGTTACGGATGAGATGCTCTGGATTCACTAGATACAGTGCATCTCTTCTAATACTCATTGATTTGTCTAATGTCTCGTTGCTCTTTGTTATTCTGCCTGATGCATTTTGCGAGAAAAATATGAAAGTAACCAACTCTATTTAAAAAGTCGACTTTATAATCATCTCATAAAGTTAAATGTCTAGAAGTTTCAAGATGAACAATATTTTGCACAATAGCTTAATACAGCTTTTTAAACTGCATTATAGAGCAACGAAGTTCTGACTTTGACTCCTATGAGATTTTTAGAAATATAATTAAGATCCTAGAGATCCAATATGGATTTCGGGAATGCAAATTATTATTATAAATGTTCTGTAAATCCCACGGAAATCCTGGCAATCCCATGGCAATCTCGGCAATTCCATGGAAATCTCGGCAATTCCATGGAAATCTCGGCAATCCCATGGAAATCCCGGCAATCCCAAGAAATCTCTGAAATCCGAAATCTGCCGTTTCCCCCTTGGATCTACCGCTACGTATCACACAAGTCTACATTTCGGAAATACTGAAATAATACCGTAAGCTGATTTCGAACCTAAAAACAAATAGCACCATTCGACTCAGCATGATGAATTACCCCATTTCAGACTGTTTCCTAGGTGATCCAAGGTCAGTTGGCTGAAATCAAGGGTCTCAGGAAAACTCTTATAACTCTTCAACGGAGAAAGCTAGAAAGGCGAGCCTTTCATAGATCGAAAGAGAACAATTTCTTCTATCAGAACTGTAAATTAACAATTGAGCAACATCGAGAAACAGCCCCAGAATATCGTGCTCAAGATGTCCGTCGAGAATGTATTTGATTTGTCCATTGCTGACCAATTATATTTTACCATGTGTTGATGCCCCGGGTCTTTTCTTTCTAATGGTGAAAACCGCAGGTCGCTAGCTGCATCCGTTCAGGAGATATTCCTCCTTGAGTTTTCTCCATCTATTTCTGGCGCCGACAATAGTTGTTAATGACTCGCATATGTCAATGATCTCGATTTTAGACGAATAAAAACAACGATCAACGATTGAAAATTTTCTGATAAATAGCTTGTTATTATTCAGATCATTCAGCAACTTCTTTCTTTTGCTGTAAAATTCATGGCAATTCGTTAAAAACAAAGGTACTGAAGTTCTTTTTCTGATGTAAACTATGAACGTTTAGTCAAGAAGAAATAAAATGGTCTTGATTAAGAGAATCAATAAAAACATAACTGGACATTTTGAAACCAGCCAAGAATGATTTGTCTAGTTTGAAAATTGAAGATGATTACTTTCGCGACTTGGCGGCTTTTTTGGCTTGATGCCTCAAATATTCAGCTTCACGGTGACCAGTTTGCGAGAGAAGTTGAGAAAAATAGGATTGATCATCGACTAATAATTCGTGAGCACTTGCAAACTCAACAGCACGACCATGTGATAATACCTAAATAATTAATCATATCTTATCACAGAATAAGCGATTTTCAATATTTTCTTACTAGAATTTTGTCACTATCAATGATTGTTCGTAATCTAGAATTAACTGTAAAGTTCCATCACATTCAAGATGTCTTTTTTCTTACCGGTGAGCTATTGTTAATACGGTACAATGAACAAACTTACGTCGAATGGCCAATTGAATAACTTCATCTGTTCTACAAAATGTATTAAATTGTTACATTGATGAGACATCAAAAGTCTCTTAGGCTTTTGAAAGATGTTGGGTCTTTAGGCACAATTCAAATACTCATATATTCAAAAGCAAAGAAAAGATTTACTTTCATCATATATTCGAACTAAATCATTTGGGACTTAAGTATACAGAAAGACAATAGATACTTGTGATCAACATTGGCCGTAGCTTCATCAATAAGAAGTATTCGGTTTTTTCGAAGCAGTGCTCGAGCCAAACAGATCAATTGTCGTTGACCCACACTAAAATTCAATCCACCTTCGGTTACTTGATGTTGAAGACCTTCGATCAGATCGAATTTAAATTGAACCTAGACAATTCAAAATCATTATTCATTTAAAATTTTGATTATTGTCTTATCTACCTCATTGAGTGCACTCCATATTTCAATATCGGAATATTCACCAAATGGATCGAGATTAATTCGAAGAGTATCATTGAAAAGAACAGGATCCTAGATTAATTTTTCCGATGAAAATAATGTCAAATAAAATTGTTACTTTCAGAAACTTACTTGAGGAATAATTGAAATACGCCGACGAAGTTCATACAACGAAATTTGTTTTGTATCCGTTTCATCGATCAATATTCGACCATCAAGTTCAGCCATACGAAATAATGATTGAATGATTGAACTCTTACCGGCCCCGGTTCGACCAACGATACCGATCTTGAAACAAAGCAAAAGTAATAATAAACCAATAGTATATTGGGAAAATGTTATCTTTTTAGATACTCACTTTTTCACCCGGTTGAATGGAAATACTGATATTGCTAAGTACCCAAGATGAATCTGGTGAATAACGAAAGGACACATTGTCGAAAACAATAGAACCGATTGGCCATTGTGGTGGTAAAACAATCAATTGATCAATCGTTGACGATTCTTCTGGTTTCAAATCAACATATTCAATCACTCGTTCCGTGCTAGTCATCTATCGAATAATCGTATTATCAACAAAAGTATATTCTCTTCAGCCAAAGTACGCTACCTGCATCATGACATCAACAGTCAATCGTACTATCCATTGTACGGAGCCCATCAATGTAAATGAATAAGCCAAAATAAGACCCAAATCAGATACAGGCAAATCTAGTATCAAGCCAATAGATAGAATCAGAGGAAGAGAGATGAGAACTCACTTCGATGAACGAATAACATTGAAAATGTAAGAAGGCCGATAAAGGCTGCTACAACAGATTCGATTCTCATTGCTACCCATCGATTCATTGTAAGCATTACACTATAAGCGCGACTGTGTTCATCAAGATAATTAGAAAAATCTCGTGTACACATTGTTTGTGCTCCATAGGAGCGAATCAATGGTACACCTTGAATTGTTGAGGAAAGATGAGAATAGATTGGTGATCGACCTAGCAAAGAGTTTATTGTTAAAACCAGAAGAAAAAATAGAGAATCAATATACCGAGACTTTCAAGCCGCTTTATATCACGTATTGCGGGACTAAAAATCCTTCGTATCCGTTCTAGTATTGCACCAACAAATAATAATGATATTAATGACAATGGTTGAATGAATGCAATAAAAGAAACTGTTGAAACAATGTTGGAAAATGCCTAAAATACAGAATCAATTATTTTGATGCGAAAATTTACATTTCAACTAATCTTAATCTGATTATATCAATGGATAAAAAACACAAAAGACTTTCGTCTATGAAAGACAATATACAATTCGAAGAATTTGATTGTCGTTTCTATGTTTCGATAGTTTTGGTGTACACTCTTTAAGCTGTTTGCATAGATTACCTCAGTAAAATTGTATGTCGCTTCAGATAGTTTTTCATCAATCGACGAGATATCTTTCGAAAAACGATTTATAATACGACCTAAAACGTAAAAAACAATAACTTGTCTACTAAAGCGAATTATAGAATCACCAATTGGATTTGTATCGAAGAAGAGTACAGGTGCACGAAGTATTGAACTGAACATTTGATTATGAAGTGTTCGTGCAGCAATATGAGTGGAGAGAAAATAGAGAATTGTACGTATAAATAAAAGGATGATATTTAACATGACGAATCCTAGATTAAAATTATGCATGTACATATCATTCATTTGTTCATTGAATCGATGATACTAACCGAGAAGGACATAGAAATAATTGTCTCGTTTTTTGTGCCATTCATTATTTGTCATATTTCGAATAGATGATTGATCTTCAAGAGTACAACTGTCATTTGTTGATTTCGATGCATAACGAATCCGTTCCGCATTTGACCATCGACCTAGCCACCAATTAACAAATAAAGTAAGGGCACTAGTTGTCATGAATAATAGGAATATAATAATGATGCCAAAACTTCCACAAAGACTCGCTTGAATGTATCGAAGATAGACGCTACTACTGATTGCGCCAGTACCTTTGGATTCTTCGGATTGTATTTGCACGGATTTTTCGACTGTTTGCGTCAGCAATTTTTCTCCTTCATTACTGCTAGGAGGTCCCATCAATAACTAAGAATGAATAAATGTTTTTATGACTCAGTACTCAAGAACTAGTCTGTCTTACTGATAATTGTGTAATAAATTCGGGTGCCCCTGATGTATTCAATGGACTAGTTGGCTCTGATGTCGACGATGAATCCAAACGTGAAATGATTGTATTCGTTTGTGTCCATTGCTTGAATTCAGGACACACATCATGTAAGTGTGCATAAGTGCCACTTGCTATTTGAATACCCTAGTTGGAACAATGAAGAAAAATACGTATTCATACAATATAAGAGTTCAACATATTTTGATCACTTTATCAAGAAATATGATTTTCGTTGCATATTTCAAAAATTGAATTTGATGTGTAACTAAAATACACACTTTTGAGCGTAACTTTCCCAAAATACATCTGAAGAGATGGAATTGAACTGAAATTGATTCAATTTCAATAATCTACTTTTCGAATATGTGTCGAGCAACTTGAACATCGACAGCTGAAAGAGGATCATCAAGTAGATAAATATCTTCATCTCGATATAGTGCTCGAGCCAATGATAAGCGTGCCTTCTGTCCACCAGATAAAATGATGCCGTTGTCTCCAACCAACGTCGAGTCACCATATTGAAAATTTGCCAAATCCTATATTTATAATGCTAAGTGATCAACCATAGATACGAAAACAAAAACAAAAATAAAAACAAACCGTATCGAGACCAGCAGCATAGATGGATTCATTGAATTTTTTCTCATTGAATTCCATTCCGAACAGAATATTTTCTTTAATGGAACCAGAAAATATCCATGATTCTATGAAAAATAAAACTTGTAATTTACGACAAGATTTTTTTCAATACAATATATTGAACACATTATGCAAATGACGTTCATCTAGTTTTTATGTTGTTTTGGTGAAGATCAGCAAAACTGACAATAAAATCATCTTATGTTATCACGAATGTTCTAAGTTCTTTGATTGCTGTCCAACACCTACTATTCTACATGCAAAAAGCCTATAGTATCAGTTGAATTTGCCAATGCGGCCTTAAATCAAATGTGTCAGGAATAATGAGGAAGATTTTCAACAAGTACTATAGCTAATGCTGATAGAATTAAAAACGAATACACTTTCGAGATGTCTCATACTATGAACTCCAACCACTCAAGTTTTATTGTTTCCACCTAAATATTTTCAAATGCGAAAATTCGTTAGACGATTCTTGAATGCAAAATGTATTGGGCCATCGTTTATCGATGGGAACATCTTTAGATGCTATCATCATTCTTCACTGAGAGAAGAAATATTTTATAAACTTAATCCAAATATGCGCGAATTTGTTGAATTCGTTCGTTCAAATTACCTTGAGGTACATAACAGAAACGAGCATTTCTGTTTAACTTTATGGTACCGTTACTTATTTTCATTTCGCCAATTAAAGTCATTAGTAACGAGCTCTAAAAGTTAACAATGAAAAGCAAATAGACGATGTTCTTAGTCTGATACAATGATTACTGTTGACATACTTTTCCTGATGCGATTGATCCAATAATGATAATCAATTCTCCAGTATGTGCCGAAAATGTTACATCGCGTAGATGAAAGGAAGAATTCTATGCAAAATAAACGAAACTATCATCAGCTCACTTCAATATTATAATTCTACCTCCCAACTCGATGACAAATGTTCAACGTCGATGGCCAATTTATTTTGATTATTGAATTCATTTTGCATAATGATAATTTTTGGTTGATTATATTCGTTAGCAGTTAAAAATGCCTATTAAGGAACATGAAAAGGATACAATATGAATGTTACAAACTATATATTTCTACCTGAATACGCTGTACTGCTACCCAATATTGAGATAGATTCACACAAGAAGTAGCAAAACCATGCAAATAAGTATGTCGAAGATAGGAAATGAGCACAAAAGCAATAGTAAAAAAGTCAGTATTGAATGGAGCACCTCGGTACCAGAGAAGACCAAAAACAATGAGAAAGAATATCAATAAAAATGAGTAACCATTCACTATTTTCACACTGTTCACCACTGATTTGAAAATAACATACAAAGTTTCTTTTCTAAAAAAAAAATACAATTCACATAGCTAAGAAAAACAAGATATCAATTTCAGATTACCGTCGTACACGTTCGACTTTTAATTGAAATGGTCTTTCCCAAACGTACATTTTAACGAGATGAATCGATTTAACGATTTCATTCATTAATTTGATACGCAAATCTGTTTGTCCAACACGTTTTGTCCTGGAAAAAAGCAGAATGTATTTAGAATTTCTGACAAATTTTAAACGCGAAATCACTATATCATACCAAATGATTTGCATAATTTTACCACAAAGAATTTGAATGGAAACAACCAGCAATGTATATATCATAGCCAATAGAATGGTGAAACCAACATGTGTCCAAAGAATAGTCAATACGACAATAGTTTCTAATGTGCCGATCCAAAGAAAATGTCCATCGAGTCCTAGATGTTCAACTGTTTGCACATCATTCGTCATCATATTGACCATTTTACCACTTGACTGAGTACCTAATGATCCCATCGACAATCGGACGATCTAATCGATATATTTAATAAAATGCACACAGATAGGTTTCTGATCATTCTCACCTTACGAAAGATTAATCCATGGTACGCACAACGAAGATGCATACCGGCACGAAAAGCATGTGTCAAACCAATATGTCGAATTGTGAACATTAACCAAGGAAACGCACTATTGAGTGCAGCCCAGCATATCACCTCCGGTAATAATATTTTCGAACAAGGTATAAGACAACGAATGAAACGTGCAAGTACGAATGGTTGAATAAAACGAAGCATTGTCTACTTAGAAGTACACTATTACAATCGAAAATTTAGAGAAGTATTATAATACATACATAGATGAAGAGATAGATGCCGATAATACCATAACGATAACGGTATATTGACCAAGTAGCACGTATTAGTGAAGGATTCTGTTTTTTCTTAGCCAATTTAGTCGACAATACAATTTCATGTTCCCATGCTCTATCAATTAGGGAAATATATTGATGATCTATTGAAAAATGCCTCCATCAGAGTTATATCTAGTCTGCGTTCTAGAGTTAGTCTCGTACATATCAATAGATAACTAGATCTCGATTTTCTTTTCCAATGACAAATACAATTTAGGCACAGAGCATATTGGTACCAATGCACAACGCTTCTAGTCATCATTTTATAAGCTATAGTAGATGCTCTTTGAATCGAGACACAAAGTTAACATCAGTGGCGTAGCTAGGAATACGGCCATTGGGCAATCGTTCACTAATTCAAAAGTGACTACCGATGGTTTTTTTTAAATGATACAAATTGCCCAAAACCGAAAAATCTTCATACATATACACGTACCAAGATCCAAGTGACGTCACCTTAATACATTGTATCTTGTTGTGATCTAATCAAGTGTTCCAGAAACATCAACTGACTATTTTTTCCATTAAATCGATGCTTACAATGATGAAAATTCAATGGTATTTTTTTTTGTCAAAACACTCGTTATTTCACTTGAATTTACTACTGGTTCTATCTGTGTTTATTTATGCTTTTTGACCTAATATATTCAAATACTTGAAAGTTCAAGAATACATTTATGAAACAGTTCAACAAAAGCTGTTAGTACAATTCCTACAGAATTAAATGTGAAAGACGATGTAGCTATTGTTACTAATCACGAGAATATTGTTTTATTCAATTTATCTTGCGACCCATTTTCTCATTATTTTTTACTTAACCCTATAGAACTGCAAGAAGCAAGTAGCTCATATATTCTCATAAGATGCTAGTGATCTATGATCGCTAATCGTTATCAAAAACGTTTGTCACGGCATGTAGAGGAGCACAGTGGACAGTCACACGACAAAATCAATTTTCGAGATTTTAGTCTATATCATAGATAGCATTGAAGCCACTATGGCGTTGCATTAAAGTGCATTCTGGACGCTGCTTTGTAGGGAGTGTCTGTTAACCCTTTGGGAACGGGGTTTTTTGAATAAATTAAGTTTTCTATTAAAGTGAAAACAGATGTTTATCCAATTAAAAATCATCGAAAAAGTGTTTTAGGGTATGATAAGCCTGAATAGTTTACTGTATCAACGCAGAAAAATTACTCTACAGGCTATTTTCAGTCATTTCTGATTGATTCGAAATATGTACCATCTCTGAATTTTGAGAAATACTCGAAGTGGTATATATACCACGCCCGCCGCCAAAGGGTTAAGCAGCAGGTATTACAAAGTACATGAACTTGGTGAATACCATTAATAGGACCATATAAGTAATTTGTTTGTTTTAAATTGAGGACTTAATTATAATCATTATTTATTATATAGTTATACAGTGTTATGTATTTACTATATATTACAAACCATTTGGGCTTTTTGAAGTTCTTTACGTGATAATAAGATCAAAAACTTACAGAGTATAGTAAAAAAATATAACCACTGGTCAATAATGCAGTTATTTTTCCGAATTTTTCGGAACTTTATTTCGAGGTCTTGATTTGTTATTTGACAGAGTATGTCGTCATCTATCTTCGGTGGAAGGGTAAAGATGTGCGTTTAAACTCTTGTCGAAATATAGTGTCTCAAATATAACCTTCTATCAAAATTTGTTGGCAATTTTTATACAGTGATCACTCATGTTCTAGTCCATCAAGTTTCACTCTTTCTTAGAAATTGACTATATGAAAAAAATCATACATAGGTTTCCTTGTAAGACGAACACCCCAAACAAAAGTCTTTTCCCTCTTTATCTTTTTATGCTGCCATACTTTGCATTAAGTTTATTACTGAGTAGAGATATGACATGAAAATTTTATTTCATTTTAGTGTACAGATCACACTAATAAAACTCTCGTGTTATATCTTTATTCAGTAATAAACTTGATGTAAAGTATGGCATCATAAAAAGATAAAGGGGGAAACGACTTTTGTCCCAGGCTGTAAATAATTTGTTTCATGCTGTTATAATTTTCTCGTTCGTAAAAATACGCCGAGTTGCACGATCTTTCTAAATTTTATCCGAGATAGATAATGTTAGTAGAAGTGAATAATTTTCGTAATAACAACTAACAAGAGATTGCAATACATACTATGAATATTGAGAAATCTAGGTTTTAAACAGAACTTCAGAAAATACGAAATATTCGGAAACTCGTTTTACTAGGTTTCAGGCCATATTACAGAATGATTTCAAATTTCGCATAACATTTAAAAAAATTTTCTACAACATACCCAGAGAGACATTGCTGAAACTCGCGAAATACTGTAAACTGAACCGCAGTATTTCTGTCATTTCGTTTTTTACGACAAACTTCATAGCATTGGTGAGCTCATTTACGTGCCACAACTAGACTTTTGTCAAACCTGAACATTTGAATTTGATGAATTTCTTTCAATATTTTTTGGCTGGAGTTTGGGCACCTTTTTTCATCCTCATCTGTACATTTTCAAAATATTATTTGATGCATAAATAAAAATTTTAAAAAAAGGAACTATAACTTCTATGTAAGCATTTACCTAACTGAAACTGTTAATTGAGCCTGATTGTTATTCGTCACTAACGTCGACCAATCAGATCATAAACAACTAGCGTTATTAAAAAGGGTAACTGTTGAATTAATCCTCGTTAGAGATTATATGGCTTTCTAAAAATTTTAGGTTACCAAAAATGTTTTAAGTCTGTTCCTCTTATATGCAAAACTCTAGTTCTTCAGAGTTGTTTACATCGCCTGCTTACTAATTTATTTATAGTTCGCTATCAAGAGGGTTTTTCCAAGTAATAAACTATGAAAACACATAGTTTTTCTAAAGATGTCTGACATATGCATACATGTGCGCTCCACTATAATCAAACAGTGAACTTTTCCTTAAAAGTTTTAAGATTTTACATTTACGTAATTCACATATTAAGATGAATATCGAATGAAAACCGCAAAATGATTGGCTAATTTGCACCCTTATTATCTTTCTTTTCCGCAAGCATTCAAAAGTTGGCAACAAATTATTGCAGATGATCTGCTTTAGGCTTTTGAAGAGTAATTAGTCCATGCCAGATTTATATAATATCATAGATAATAATTGTATCAAGTATATGAAAAACAAAACTGTTGTCTGATTTTTGCTAAACAACACTATAATGGAACAACTACTTTTTATTGTGCTAATTTTCAATTTTCGGCAACCAAAAACTTCGTTTTCCAGGAGTCTTTCGTGTAAGGTAGGCTGGATAAGCGCAGATAATCGCTATGAAGTGCCAGCTATATTTACACAGGATATTAAGTTATTACCTACAATCATTAAAAGAATTGCTTCTGGTTCCTTTTTCTGTTCACTACGGGGAGGGAAGGGGAGCAACGAACTACCTTTCAATAATATCTGTTTTTCTGATGGCAATAAGTTTAAAAAATTATAGCCCACTTGATTTTTAATTGCCCATTGTTGCCCACTCCTCAAAATAATTGAGCGAGAAACGGTCCATCACTTGAAGATTCCTGGTTACACTACTGATTAACATTTTTTTGTCACATATAAAATGGTATTCTCTCATCAAGTAAGATCATATGCGAAGTTTCAAAAATTTTATTTATGTTTATTTCTTTTTTCAGTATTGAATGAAAGACATAAACTAAGAGAAACGGTAAATGGTGCTGAAATCGTTGGAAATAAAATCACTTGAAATCACTAGAATTTGAGAAAATTGATGAGCTTATCTTACAAAAGAAAAAGAGTACTTTTAGGATGATTATCTTCACACAAAATTAATAGAATATTCAATAGGATACTTGCTTGCATCTTATTTATTCAATTCCTGTATAATTGTTAATTTTCGTCTTACTTTTCCAGTCGATCGATCCATGGTTCGCTTTGATCATCTGGTAAGATATCGAAGATATCATTGTACTCGAGAGGTCGTTTACGACGTAGCGAAAGAAGACTTGATATCCACCTGAAATAGTATATCAATATTTTGCTTTGTCAAGAAAAATAATGCAGATATACTCACGAATGAAAAATCTTACTAAAAAGATTCGCTTTTAAATAAGGATGCTGATCTTTAGACATTTATAATAAAACGACATATGACTGATGAAGAAAGCATCGAAACAGGAGTGAGCACTTACTTGTTCTTTATCTATTTTCACGCGGATCTCTGTGTGCTACGGTATCTTTTCTTTCCTCCCACTCGCCGTCTGTTCGGTTTTCTTTTTGCTCTATTCCTCTCTTTATTTATTTGGTCCTTTTCTTCAAGAGCAAATAGTATGTGACGAAATTTTAACCATTATTTCTATGTATGGCCTATGGCATGGATGAAAGTGCTGAGAAGCATATTCTAGATTTTCAACGAATAAGTTCATTAATAATAATTCAAATATCTACCCTCCATTTCAATTAAAATGGGCTAAATATTCAACCGATGATACACATGCCTTCAAATCTTTTAAATTTATTCATACTAGAATGTGTTGCACTGTTATGATGAGTTTCAATGAAACAATGTGATTATGCTGAGATTTCCAAATACATCATATTTTTGCATCCAAACGCAGAAGTATAATACACTTCATTCTATTTAGAATCGATTAAAGTAGGAACGCTCTATATAGGAAACGTGCGACCACGGTAGTTGGAAGTACGAGTGCATTGTCATGACGTACCAGTGAAAGTATAGTGAGTATTACCCTTCAGGTGTATTTCATTCGTACTGCATTCATACTTCAAAGTACTGAAGTCGCACTTTTTCTCCCTTGAGGAACACTTCTTTGTGATGTCACCACGACTTAAGTCAAATAAACTAGT